GCCTGCTTGATGGAAACAAGAGTTTTGAGTTTGTTTCAGTTTTGTTTTTGTTTTTCAGGTTCTAGAAAACACAAACACGACATAAACTCAACTGTACGTTTAGTGGAAAACAGCTATAACAAAACCAAGGAAGGCACTAGAAAAAGTAATACTAAAAAAAATGTGGAAATAGTAAGATCTTTCCGTCGTGGCTGTTTATACATGTTGGTAATTGCATTAATGTATCATTTTATTACGTATCATTTTTAATTTAGATAACACAGGCACACAAAATAAAAAAGTGGTATGTTTGTTTGCATGTTTTCGGACACGCTAAAAACGAATCTGAAGTCAGCACCCACCATTTTCGAGAAAATGCTTTCCAATCCCTAAAAACATTTTTTATTGGGAATAAGATTGACAACTGTAACGTCGTGGGAACAGCTGGTCCTTTACTGAATTCCATAACCTACCCCCACACTTCGGACCCGCTGAACACGAACGTGAAGTCAATTTAACACTACTACCCACCATTTTCAATACAATACATACTCAGTTCATATGAAAAGGTGTTTCACTAAAAGTGTTCGGTGGTTTATTTATAGTCAACGCTTTCGCTTGTAGATAACTCTTTTCGAAAGATTTATGTAGGTTTTTTTTCTTTGCAGGAAAAATGACCTTGGATGGGACAGGATTCAGCGTATCGCTGAATCTAGGGAGAGAACGTGGGTAAAGACCCACGTTCTCTCCCTAGATTCAGACGCCTTGTAGAGGCAAGCCTCTTTCCCCTTATCCTGGACCACTGACGAGGTTCGTGAGGCCTCGCCCTGTCCTGACTGGAGCCCTCCGGCTGAGGCCGTTTCTTCTGGCTCTCTTCTTTCTTCGGCAGCTTGTCTGTGTATGAACGATCCAGCTGCTAGATTTATTAAATCCAGAAAAGGACTAAGTACAAATAAAAGAGCTAGTGGCCAATGATACTAACTGTCTGAGATCTACAAGAAGCCAAAAAATGTCAGAAAGCGTTCTGTAATGCAGATACTAAAACATAATTCTAAAAACTTAAAATTTCTTCCTCACAGGGCACAGGGCGGCACTAGTCAAACTACAGCTTCACTACAGGTCGCATGCTGTAATTTTTTTCGGCCTCTTTGTAGGTCCCGTTAATTATTTGATTTTTTGCATAAGACTCAGTAATCTAAGATATTTTTCAGTATTATTGATTACTTAAGGAGGTTTATCGGGCACGGGGGTACGTCTAAAAGTCTAACGAGAGTTTCTGTACATGCGCTAGTGACTAAAGTAGTAAGCCTTTAGATTTGGTAACGTTGCACTTGGCTGGCTTTGGATGCCTAAGCTTGAAATATACATCATAATGTCACACCTGCGAATTTCAAATAATACGCTACGTCGAGAACCGCGGTGTTGCCGCTATCACTCATATGGACGTTAAGTTAATCAACAACAGCAGTTTGAAGGAGAATTATTATAAATTATGTATCTTACAAGTACCTAATCGATTTCTACGAGCTACGGTTCCTTAGATATCGCTTTCCTATTTATACAAGTTGCTGTAAAAACTTTGTCAATTGCTACGCATTCTAAGTGGAAAGACCAAAAAAAATCTGCATTCTCATAAGACTCTGTACTAAATCGTGAAAAATTGTTTTATTAATATCTTGTCTCTTAGGTATCCAAACTAGTCATAATTTGTTTTGAGGATTTTCTTCATATTAATTTTTTTATGAATATTTGTTCGTCAATTCCAAATCAGATAAACCTCCTTAAATAATATAAATCACATAAATAGGAGATAATCTAGATACTTCTTAAGCCATTTATTCCCTACTATGAATTATTTGCTAGAATTCTAAGTGAAACATGATATTTAGAAAGTTTTACAGTTTAAAATGTAAATATAAACTTCGCTATATTTTAAATCGACTAGGAAACAGTTAGATCTACAAAATTATATTTTTTAGATCTACTGTTTCGTATAGACTTAGAAAAGAAATTTGATGTTAAAGAAGCAAAATATTTCCTCTTCTCGCTACCGAAATACGTACTTGGTAATTTTTTTTTAAATATTTTTAAGATTAAAGCAATGATTTACCTTCATACTGTTAAAGAATTAAATACACTGAAGGTGCATGATCAAAAGATGGTTCATGAAAAGACTTATGACTTCGCAACTGGTCGACTTTCCCACAATATAAATTTAGGTTTCAATTTGCAACATTAGTAGGCATATAAATTGGATAAGTAGAATACATGGTTGTGAACGGCATAAATTTCAATACAATACAAAACTAAAAGACGTTGTATGATTTGTTAATCGAGATGATGCAATTTTACGTGAAGATCTACTTATTGTTTTATTTTGGCCATTAATTTGCTCGAAAATGGGGATCTGGGAATTCCCACCATTTCGGATCTCAGCAATTTTTTTTGCTTATTTAAATGTTGCGCTAACTGGTAATTAAAAATTAGTTAAACTATACACATAAGGTGGGTATTATATAAAATAATGAAAAAGTACGTACAGTAAATGTTTTGCATAATCCCCGAGGAAACGGAATTATTCAAGCAACATTCTACCCCCTTTATTTTTCCTTCCTTCGCATTTAGAAAAAAATTGCATAAGCCGAAGTGGCAGAAAATTTTCTTGTGATTTCAAAACTGTCTTGGACAAACAGTTGAATGTTACCTTCCGGAGAAAAATATTTATTAAAGTGGTGTATTTCTTTAAAAATAACTTACTGCACATATGTGGATAGAATGCATCCTCAGGATTACAATGATACAAATAATAGGGAAGATATGGTCAAAAGAACATGCAAACAATACTCTTTTCATCAATATGTAAAGGTATGCAGGGTATTGTCAAAAATATAAATTTTGCTGATATTTCTTACACTTTGGTCATTGACTAATGACAACTATATAAATCTATTAATAAACAAGCAGCAATGTGGAACCTCATAAAAAATAAAAATGACCGCAGTTCACCTGCAAGCGATTCATTAAACGCTAATGACTTTAATACTTATTTTTTCAATATTGTAGAGCGTCTTTTGAGTGAGCTCCCGCTTCCCAACAAGTTACCTTCCGAGTTTTTGACTGCCCCGAGGTCACAAAGGACTTTTAAATTCAGGGAGTTGTCTTTTAATGAAGGAAGGACTAATTTAAACAACTTAAAAGTAAAAAAAGCAAAGATGCTTACGGTTTGAATGTTCCAATCTTGGAAACTCTTAAAAACATAATTTTTCCACTATTTAAACTAATTAATCAATGTATTAGCTCCAACGTATTTCCTACAGCTTTCAAGTTATCCAAGGTTATTCTTGTTTTTAAGAAAGGTGAGAAGATGAGGTATCTAACTACCGACCAATATCTCTTGTTCCCGTTCTGGCAAAGGTTTTCGAACTGCCTTAAAAATGCAAATTGCAGAGTATTTTGAAAACAATAATTTATTCCATTCTAGTCAATACGGTTTTAGGTACAAAAGGTCAACAACTTTAGCTATTAACCAATTGCCTACAATTATTTTAAACAATTTCGAATCAAACAATGTTGTCAGTGGAAATTTTTTCGATTTGACTAAGGCATTTGACTGTGTGTCCCACAGAATTCTCTTAAATAAACTAAAATTTTACAATTTTGATGACAATAGCGTGTCTCTTATTGAGTGTTATCTATCGAACAGAACTCAGTGTGTTTTTTATAATTCTTGTTCTTCACACCCAACAAAAATAGTTCATGGAGTTCCCCAAGGCTCAGTATTGGGCCCTATTCTATTTCTTATCTATATCAATGATTTCCCAAATTGTGATATAACTACTGATTTTATTTTATTTACCGATGATACTACCGCTTTAAAGTCAAATAATAACTTAATTAAACACACAGAGGATTCAGTAGATACGCTGCCGCTGATAAAGGACTGGTTTATTGCTAATAGATTGAACATAAATGTTGACAATTTCAATTCAATAACAATTTCAATTTTTGCTTTTTACACTTCGCCATATCAATACTTGTGATAATTCAAATAGCATTAAATTTCTTGGAGTTCACCTTGACACTAAATTGAGTTGGGAAAAACATGGCAATGATTTATCCGCACGTTTATCTAAGAATATTTTCTTACTGCGTAATTTGGATCGTGTAGTATCTAAGCCTTTACTCATATCTGCACATTATGGTACTTTTCATGCCACCATGACTTATGCAATTTTGAACTGGGATCATTCGTCTCACAGTGATAAAATGTTTGGTTTACAACGTAAATGTATTAGAATTATGGCTGGAATAAAATACAGAGATGATTGTCGGGAGCACTTCAAACTGTTAAATATTCTTACCATGCCGTCAGTTTACATATTTGAATGTCTCATTTATATAAAAAAATAATCAGAATAGATTTGTTCGACAAGAAAATTTTCATTTTCATCATACACGAGAGTGACATAATATTAGGCCTAAATCCAGAGATGGCACAAATTATTTTTGCATTAAATTCTTTAATAGACTTCCATCTGAGATTCGATCACTAAATTCAGACTGTTTTAAGGCCAGAATTAGAAAATATCTTAAGAGAAAAGCATTTTACAATTTTGATGAGTTCCTTGCTGACCAGTTTTTAGATATATAGTGTATGTTCGTAATATTCACTTTTTTATGCTGTTTACGTTATATTTATCTGAATGTGTTTTTTTAGCTTTAGTGTAGTATCGCTTATATGTTGTATATTTCGTGTTTTTGTTTCTTTGACTTGTGTAAACATTTTAATGTATAGACACCAATAAATGATTTGATTTGATTTGATTACCACTTTTTTTTAAGTAGGAAAATAAAAATGATACGGGGGGTAAACTAACCCTGCACAATAGACACCATTAGTTGCCACAGAACTTATCTTTGTTTTTTTGAATACACACAAAAATTATTCTAAATGAAGAAAATATAGTCAAGGATCTAATAGAGTAAATAAAAAAAAATTATTTTAAATATATGTGTTTTTATTAATTAAAAATTGGAGGACAGTGACAGTCGTATCTTTCAAGCACCTTCCGGAAGGGATGTTTACCACCTACATCAAATATTCCTTTGACTGCCTTTTCTGCAAACTTCTTGTATTTTTCCTCTTCTTCCTTGCCTTTTTGAAGTTGACGTTCCAGCTCCTCTCGCTCTTTTTGCTGTAATTGAATTATAATATTTTATAGTTGTATTTAACATACTTTAAATATAATGTTTAATCACAATACATAATTAATTACAAGTATTATATTATTGACTATAAAGTTGTCATAGACCTAATATGTTGGTATAGAAGATGTCTAGAAATTAATACACTATATTTTAACTGCAGTTTCCTTCGACAAGAGTTAATTTAGATCAAGACTTTCCCTGTTCTTTGCGGTCTTTGTGTTTTAGACAAATGTAAGTATAGGGGGTCAATTTACCATAGTACATACAATTAATTGTGCTTTCGTATAAAGTTATGGGTCTTGTATGGAAATTGTGGTATTATTTTTCCAATTAAAGATATAGGGACGTTTTAGAGGTAGCAGGAGGTTGAACATAGGCTTAATTTTTACGTTAAAAATATTTCATTTACCATATGTCTTTTGCTGGTAGAGATTTTAAGAAAATACATTTGTTGTACACATATAATACTGCATATCACTAAAATTTACCAATTCTAATTTAATTAAACTATGGGTATAGCCCAGTCGGTGGAGGCCACAGAAACAAGTAACTAGCAATATGGCTGATTTTTTTTACTTTATTTAGTTCCTTGTGGGTCGCTGCTCTAACAGAATCCGGTGATATATGCTATTTTATTTGGGACACTAAAAAATAGTGTATAGTACTCCAGTAACAACAAAGGAAAATTGTATGCATAGAGCAAGACAAGCATTTGAGCATCTATCACCGGATTCTATTAGAGCAGCGACCCACATGGATCTAATCCGTAAGTGTGAAAAATGTTTAGAAGACATTTTGAACATTTATTATAATAAATTTGACAATTAAAAACCTGTGACAGTTGTCATGTTGATTGTTACTTACCTGTCACGGCCAACCAAAAATGTGCGAAACAAATGGAAACATTTTAAGAAATGTTTATTCGTAAATAAAATGAAAACCACTGGGTTTAGGTATAGGGAAACTTTAACAAAGTTACACTTAATTTTAGTGCAGAATGCGAATACGTTAAAAAAATAGGGGTTTCCATTTAAAAATTTCGAGTTTTCCACATTTTGTGAATTTTATATTCGATAATTTTTTTTTGACCACTTTGTATAAAAACTGGAAAATTTTCATGTCAAATTCGATAATTTTGGTCTTCCTCTACAAAATGTCCAATTTGCACAAAAAATAAACCTATTCGTTAACCTACTTAGCAAATGTCGTAAGTCCACTTTTCATGCAGACAGAGATTTTGGTGGACTTTTTCTGCCCTTGAATCGAATGTAGTGGTTATTCGACATATGCGTTTTGATGTTTTCGCGCGCTGTTTTCTACTAAAGTAAAATCTGACTTCTCAGCATGGTTCAAGCACTGCCAGCTAGATGCCACCAGAAGAAGTGAACTTACGATATTTGCTAAGTAGGTTAACGCTATGTGTCCGGGAAAACTAAATTTTGCTGAGTCTGCATCTGTCAATTTTTGCTTAAAAATCAAAATATCTCGGAAACGGTCAATCCTAAGTATGGAGTGTGCTATATGTTTCAACTTGAAAATATATGCTCTTTCCAAAAATGCAATAATATACAGGGGGTTCCATTTAAAATAAGAAAGTTAGTGTTAACTTCCGGTATAACCGGAAGTACGATGACCTTGAAAATATTTTAGCTTGGTAGGCCCCACGGTCCTTATCACACCATCACAATTTCAAAAAAATCCTTCTAGCGGTTTCCCAGATATCCATCGATGGAGTTCGTGGTGGGACACCCTGTATAGGTAAAGAAGGAGGGTCATTAAGTGCGAGTGTCGACCCAATTAGAAAAGTAAAAAAAAAGTGCATGGTTTTTATAAATTGGGACCAGACAAACAAAACCCCATCCGGGAGGGGGGGGGGGTATTGGGGGGAATAACCGACCCACATTCTACTCCTATGACAGGTAATAATGGTAAATATCTTTCATTTTGAATCAAACGGATCTTCCCATATCCATCTCCATAATTTTAATTATATCCAATTATTGTGACAGGCATGCATGCCAGAAAATTCAAATTGAAGCTCAGATAAACACTAGGGCTTGGATAGGCTAACTGAATAACGGACTGGTAGAGTGCAATTAAACCAGGAAAATGAACCTCTGACAGACAAACTATATCTGAACCTGGAACAGGAAAACCCTAATTGAGGCTGAGACATGAAATCTATATCTCAAATAGGAGTTCAGGCTGCCAAGGCCAGGCTGAAGCACCGAAAGCAAACTCAAACTGAAGTTCAATCAGGAAAACCCAAGCTAAAGGGACAGGGAAGCACAAGCTGAAGGTCAGACATGAAAGCTCAAACTCTAACAGAAGCTCTAGCTTGTAGAACAAAGCTGAAGCTCCGTCAGGCAAACGCAAACTGAGGCTGGGACAGGGAAACTTTTGGCCACAATCCACTGAATAATTCTAGTAAAAATGTAGAGATCATGTGGCTTAACATTTAGAACGTAGACGTCACCATCTTGGCAATACTGCCCATAAAATTTTCACATTTTCGTCTTATTTTGCCTCAATTACATTTTTTTAAATGGTTGTAATATTCATTAAAACATAAGCGCAATGCCACATCATCAAAGTGCCTTGTTTGAAAAATAGGTGGAAAAGGTGTAATAATTCTCTTCCAGATAGCAATACAATATTTAATTTTAACAAATTTAAATTATATTGTGGACAACTGATTTTATCAGCCGAAAGTGTCTCTATAAAACTGATTCATATATTCTTATAACTAATTTGTTCTCTTTTTTCTTTTTCAGTGGGTTTCTATTGTTACATAAATTATTTTGAATTAACATGTTCTCGTTTGCTTAAGGTTGAGTTTGAGCAATTTTAGCCGTGATTTTTTCTCCTTTTTAGGTAGAATACGAGTAAAACATTTCTAGCGAGTTCAGCTTCTGTAACTTCTTCTACGCTGTTTTTCACTTTTCAGGCAACTGTAAGGTATTCGTACAACATATCAGTCAGATGAACAAATTAATTCTAAATTTTTAAAATGGTGAATATTAATTTAAAGTTCTGGAAAGTAAACTCGCTCGGATCGCTTTCCGTGAGGCCACTGCTTTAGACCACCGTAATAGAGTCCTTTCGACACATCAGTTTCACTTTCAACTACAGATACAGCAGTTCCAATTGCACATTATCGCAGAAAAAAATCAACCGTGTCGTTAGTTCTGGCAGGACGTGCTCTTTGAATGCAATAATCCTTTCACTACTTGAATAGCGCCTGCGGGGTAAGAAAAAATTGTAGCTGATAATAGAGGCGCGCTCACCTTTGCATCCCGGTTATGGGGTCAAATTAATTGAATAACGTAAAATATTGTTACGCCACTAACTGATTTATCGGTTCAAAATGTGTATGTAAGCTGTGCGTTTCTCAATTTCAGTGGCTATTACAGCTCCATATTTGGAATATTAATGTATACTTGTAAACTGTTATATTTTCAAGACTGGAGCGTTTATGTAACAATGTCGCATAATTTTTAATTGTTTCTAGAGAATGTCAATAATAAAAGTCGTAATTCTAAACCAGTTTTCATCTCTTTCCCATCAAATTTCATTACTAGATTCTACTTTCAAAAATTAAAAAATGGTGTAATAAACATAGACCTGGAACTATAGCGGTTTCTTTTCAATACCTCTGAAATTTGTAGGAATAAATAAACAGAAATGTGCCAATTATTCAAACCCAACCGCAGTTATGCCAAAAAACTCTAATAGTTGTCTGTCAGCAGTTTTGACCCTTATATTTTTACAAGCCTAGGAAGACGTACAAAAAAAGTTATGTTAAACATGTTTTGTTAGCTTATTTAGCTGAAAAATAAAATACGTAGGAGGCTGATTTTCAGGCGTTTCTCATGGAAAATGGTGGTTTTCCTGCATTATTAACACGTTTTCTAAAAGTATGAACCTCACTGCGAGAAAAAATTGTGAAACTTGAAGTTTTGACACGTGACTGAAAAATATCTACCGATTTTCACCATTTTTTTCACTTATTTTGAATAAATAGCACCCTTAATTTATGACATCATCCCAATTGTTGGTTCATGTTCTTTGTAATTTCGTAAAGAAACGTGCTTTCAATTTTCATAACGATCGGTTCATAACTTTTTGAGTTAGAGTTCCCGTGAATAAAAACAATTAGTACGTCATTGAAGCTTTTCACCTCCGAATTCTTTGAAACTGAACCGATCGACTTGAAATTTGACAGATAGTTAGAGTAGTAGAGAGAGTCAATGAACATTAGTGATACAGCGCCGATTGACGCTTCCACCCTGTTGAGGGTTGACATTTTTTTTCAAAAATAACTCTTGAAATCGATAGAGAATCAAATTTTGAGCAAAACATATTCGAAGAATTTTTTCGAGGAATCAGTAGTTTTTTAGTTATTCACGATTGAAAACTTTTGAGTGAAAAAAAACACTTTTTCAAAGAATTTTTCGCGAATAACTCAAAAACTTCGCATTTTATTAAAGAAAGTGTAATGAACAAAAATTTAGCTTATAAATAAACAATAAGAAAATCGTCTTTTAAAAAATGTACGTCCCATACAAAGCGAAATATGGTTAGTGGAAGGGGACTTGTTTTGGGGGGAATACTCGAATCGATGTATTCAACGTCAAATAACGGAAAAAGGATTAATTTTACATGTATAATGCTCCAGGAGTTTTTTGTAGTACTCAAAAAGACCTTCAAAAAGAGAACTTATAAAAGTTAATTAGAGCAAAATTGAAGGAGTTATCGTCAAAAACAGATGGGTTGCTCATATTTTTTAAGGAAAAATTAGCAGTAAACGCTATACCATTTCCATCAGAATTAAAATTAATCGTAGACCCTTTACAATTAGTTTTGTTTTAGTGTTTTTCATACGATCCTGAAGTTAGACCGGTTTAGAATGCGTATTTTTTTAATAATGTACGGTAAAAGTTGAAAACGTATTTTTCATTATTCAAAAAAAATTGCCTTATTTATA